AAAAAAAATCTTTTCTCTTCATCAACTCAAGAAAAAAAAATTCCCCCCCATTTAAAAAAATTTTTTTTTTTTGGTGGTGCCTTCAAGTCATTGTTGACTGCCTGGGCAAGTCCCTGCAGTTTTCTTGGCAAGATTTTTCAGAAGTGGTTTGCCATTGTCTGACTGAGAGACTGGCCATTGACTGGCTGAAAGTGACTGGCCCAAGGTCACCCAGCTGGCTTCATGCCTGAGGCAGACTAGAACTCACAGTCTCATGGTTGCTAGCCCTTTCCCTTAAAACAATCTGTAGCAGCTTTGAATTCCTAGATGGTTCTGAAGGTCTTAATTAGATTTGGACAGGCCCTAATAGAACATGACAGATATCATGTATTGGATAACAAACATGAAGCTAATTTGAATCTTTCCTAACAGGTGTTCAGATAAGACAGCTTTAGGTATGTTATTATCACAGGATTGAAATCTGATCCAGATAACATTAGTTACAGAAGCACTCATGCATCAATAGCATGCATCATTTTAACTCTTACAACTTGGTATGCCGAGTTCATCTATATTGTATTTCTTCACTGATCTACAAATAGGGCATGGGCACCAGCTGCAGAAAATTGGCTTTGAGATAGAGAAATGTTTAATTTTGTAATTTTATGCGCTCAGCATTACTTACAATTGTAGTTATGCTCCTTCAACACAGTGTGACCACCCAGCATACAAAACGTGAATCAGGTTCATCTGTTTTTCTTTAAGATATCTGATTGTACTGTCCTACTGAAATTACAATGATTGTTTATGTAATTGGCCATGAACACTGTGATTTGTATTGGTGGTTTAGAATAGATATGCTATCACAATGGGTGCAATTTGCCAGCCACGAGCACCTCGTTGTGGGCCAGCAATTTCTGACTTACCCTGGGAAAAGCTGGCCATTGATATTAGGGAGCCATCGGATAAAGACAAATGCCTTCATATTATTATCCTTAAAGTCTATTTTAGTAAATGGCTTGAAGGTACTTTATGCTGCATGTATGTTACTTGGAAAAGAATTGATCTCAGATAAGGACATTCAGTTTACTTCATTAAAGTTTGATGCTTCTTTGTTAGAAAGGAGTATCAAACATAGATTCTGATTGCCTGCAGGCAAATGTAGAGGTAGAGTGTATGAACAGGAATTTGACAGAAAGTATACAGATCTATAGTGTCAAACAATAATCTACAACACACAATTGCCAAGAAATATTACATGAATAAAGATGCTGCTGGATTGCAGATTTATAACTTAGATGACTTTCTGAAGCAGAATGTGAAAGAAATAGGATAGGTGGCATATGAGTGGTTGTTGTCAGGCCTAGAAATGAGAAATTCATTATGATGCGTGTGTACAGATGGAGAAACGAAGCAGTATCCTTCAGGAAACAGAGCCATTAATCTACATTTTTCCTCCTGGGTTCTTGACCTGAAAGGAGGCTATGCTTGTAAAGGCCGGGATAGATGATGGCTAATAATCACCTTCTGTTTATGACTGGGCAGGTTGCAGTGAAACTGCTTTATTATCTTTTGTGGAGAGAATAGCTGACCCAATCTCCAGCATAAATCTAGGTGACATCATTATTAGATAGAATTAACACTATTTTGCAGCCTATATGCTGTTTGCAGACACAGCATTCTATAAATCAATTTGGTGATGAACAGATAGATAAATTGCATTCTGGGATCTGTAAAAGGTGTGAAGAAAAAGTAGGGAGTAGAATTAAAAGTGGCTGTGCTGCTTTTAGCTTGTGAGTGCCTGGAATAAAGGAGCTTAAACATGTGCTGGTGTTGTTTTGGAATTCATGTAAATACAACAGAGTTCTGAATAGGAACATTCCTTTTAGGCAGGACTGAGATGCGTCCCAATTTTTGTGATGGATCCCAACTTCATGTGCTTTGTGCTGTCGATAATATGGAACTCGGGTAATGAAAATGTACCAAGGGCTACTTTTTAAAATACCAGTATCAGGCTGTGGAGAGCCAGACACAGCCCAAAGGCTATGAAGCCAGTCCACTGTGATGATCAGCTCAGTTCTTTACACAATTAGTGAGTTGTTTGGTGTCCTACCTTTTATTAGGCTTCTTATCCAAAATCAGGATAATAGGTTTCCCTATTTCTCTCATCCTATTAGTTATGGAGGCTTTGTTATATTAACATAGGTTATAAATGAAGCAAACTTGCTTCAATGTTCCTACTCAAAATTGTTCTCTGTGAATATGTTGATGAACGTCAGCTATTAGAACTTTTGGGAAATGTTTGCTTATTTGACATTATCATGACATCCAGTGAAATAAGGCTATATAACATTTTCTTGCTGTGGGACCTTAATCCAAGGAGGAAGTTAGGAGATGTAGAATTGAGGGCACTGATCTAGCCAATGAAGGACGCCTCCAAGTCATTAACCATTGATATATACTTGTATGTTTCTTTATGGGAGAGTGGTTGGTTTGAGAGAGACTGGTTGGTATATGCAAATGGGGGGTCACTTAATTTTGTAATTTTTCTGGCAAGTAATTTTAATTGATTGATTATGTTTCATCAAGTTGGGGTTGACTCTTAGTGACCACATAGATAGATTTCTCCATGACGATCTATCTCTAACTTGGTCCTTCAGGTCTTCCAACAGTGCACCCATCACCACTGTAATGTGAGTCCATCCATCTTGCTTCTGGTCTTCCTCTTTTTCTCTTTCCTTCCACCTTTCCCAGCACTAGAGTCTTCTCCATGGAGCTAGGTCTTCGCGTAATGTGTCCAAAGTAGGATAATTTGAGCCTGGTGATTTGTGCTTCAAGTGAGAACTCTGGGTTGATTTGTTTGATGATCCATTGGTTTATTTTCTTCACTGTCCACGTTATCCTCAGGAGTCTTCTCCAACACCAATTTAGTAGCTATTAATTCAGTTAAATTAATTTTTTTCTTGATCCTACCCTTTTTGGGAGTGTGGCTTCTGGCAAGTATATATGCACATAAATAAAGTACTTTTGTTTGTTTATGGGGTTTGTCCGTTGCCTGAAACCAAAAGGACTCAAGGCAGCTTAGATATGAAATGAAGTACAGATCAATATAATAAATAATTAAAATAGTAATCTAATGAAGTCTTGGTTTAACGCTAAAAATAATAAGCTAAAAGTTATTAAATGTGATACTGCTGATGTAATTAATCCCAAAGGCCCTCCAGAACAGCCATATTTTAACCAGCTTCTGGAAGAACGTGGGACTAAGGGTCATCCATACACTTATATAGTACATATACACACTTATACAGGTAAACCTTGCTTAACATCCACTAATTCAGCGACTGTTCAGAGTTACAGTGGTGCTGAATGAAGAGAACTTATGATGGGTTTTTGTAGTTGTGGCTGTTGCAGCATCCCCACAGTAAAGTGATCATGATTCAGGCGCTTTGCAGCCAGCTCACAATTACAACATTGCAGCATCCCGCAGTCACATGATTGCCATTTGCAACCTTCCCTGTCAGCTTCCAACAAGCAGAGTCAATGGGGAAACTAGCAGGAGGTTGCAAATAGTGATTAAGTGACTGCAGGATTCACCCAGTGACAGCAACGGAGATCACTGGAGCTGCCATCGTAAGTCAGCGTGGTCATGTGCCATCATGCTTTTCAACTGTGTTGCTTAGCAGCAGAGTTCCTGGTCCCAATTACCATCAGTAAGCGAGGACTACCTGTACAGTGTGTGTATACAGTAAGTGTGTCATAGGCATGCATTTCCTGGCTTGATGGGATGGAATTGGCAGGATACATTCCATCTAGAGTTGGCAACCCTAGATTAACAAATATGGTAGCATTCTTGGCTCCCCAGAAGATTCATATAGGGCAAGCAAAATGGAATATAATGTATTTCACCTCAGTGCTAGAGAAGAGGGAGGAAAGTACAACACATTCTGTTCTGTACTAATACAATAATTTTGAGTCAGCTGATTAAGCAATCTAATTTGTGTTCACTGCTGCCACTCAGATACCGCACCCAACCTCTTATCTTGTCTGCAGTAACCATATTGGTTGGAAGCTGAAATTCAGGCCATAGACGCATGGGGTTTGATTGAGGCCCAGCCTGTCATTATTAGATGCTCAGTATATTGGATAAAGTGGAAAAATATGTCATATGAACCTAGCCACTTATTCTGTTCCCCCACAATTTATGGTACTCTTCTTGTTCCCTTTCAGTGACTTCCTTAGAGAATAAAATAATTTCTCTTGAGACAAATGCGCTTCTAGAGTTTTATTTCAGTGTGTTTCAGTATTTGAGAGTTGTCTTGTGTAATTGCTGGCTTTTGTCATCCAGAGATTAGATTTTGTGTTCATTTGTGCACAAACTTTGCATATTCCGGAATTGAGAAATAGTTTCAGTTCATACTGTCACCGTGTCTGTTTGTTGTTATCTGATTATTTTTGTTGGGGGCAGGTGTGTTAGAGAAAAGATCTCCCCCCCCAAATTTCTTGCATAGCATCGTCTTCATTGTAATTTTTTTCTCCTTCTGCACTCCCAGGGCAGAGTTTAGGCTACGGCTTTGTCAACTACGTTGATTCCAATGATGCTGACAAAGCAATCAACACCTTGAATGGGCTCAAACTGCAGACAAAAACAATCAAGGTGAGGAGCGTGCGTGAGGGAAAACTCGTCTTGAGAGGTGTGGGAAAGGGAGGCAAAGCGGAGCTCAGAAGGGGCAGGAACCCTCCACTTGTATGCCCAATTATGTTTCATCCATTATCAGCCTGCAGTATAATACAGTGTTTCTCATGGCTGGCTAGGGAACTCTGGGAGTTGAAGTCCACACATCTTAAAGTTGCCATGATTGAGAAATACTGGTATAATACTGTACATCAATACAAATGATAGGAGACCAAGTAAGTGTGGTAGTCTGCAAGCAAGACTATTGTTACTGCACTGTGAATAGTAGGGACCTTTAATTTTCTGGGTCTGTGGCTCTTTTGGAGTTTTGAGAATGCAGTGTGTGCTGTCACAAGATGGCTGCCGGGGACACTCGCCAGTTCCCAAATGGGCTGCCCCAGGGGGCATGTCTTATTACAAAGCACAGATTTATTGTAACACTTTTTGCTCTCCAGCCCCACAGGAGATGTTCTTTACTACCCCTGCTTACTGTTGTCCCTTTTCTTGGCAAATGGGCACACTTTCCCACCAAACACCAGGCTGCAGCTTTTCTTCATTTTTACTGTATTTTCTAAGAAAGCTTCCTGTGGCCCACTTTTACTCCTTGGAAAGAAGGGTAGTACTAGAGGTTGGCTCTTTGCTGCGTGCCAGCTTCTAATTTTGTAATTAAAAGATTTTAAGGTAAGAAGTCGGGGGCTGGGGGGGGGGAAGGGAGATACCCACAGGCATATTGGCATTTCCTTGGGCCCCATGTTGAGGCCCAACATTCATCTCTACCAAATAATCATGGAAAGGAGGGTTCCTGCCCCACGGAGCTTGCAGTTGAGATTTTGCAGAGAAAAGCTGTAGAGGAAGGAAATAGAGGTTAAAGAAATGGAACCAATAAGATAGGAATCCTGGCTCCCCTTGAAAGTGCGTGCGTGCGTGCGTGTGTGCATGCGTGCATGTGTTTCTTTCTTTCTTTCTTTCTTTCTTTCTTTCTTTCTT